GCAAAGTTTTGTTAGGTTGTCATGACCTGTACGGCATCTAGCATTATTTTTCATTTCATTTTGTTCTTTGTGAACAATTATGTTCAGATGCGTATTTAGTGGTGCCTAGGTTATATGCTTATTATCCATGGTTAGGTGTGTATTAGTATGCTAACGCTCTTTGGATGAGAGTAAGATGTCGTGCTAGGGCGCATAGCATAGTCCTGTGCGTTCTTTAAAAACATGAGCTGACATGAGGCTACATTCAGTAAATTAGCGTGTTCGTATACGAGGCTTATTCTCTTTTGTCATTTCAGTGAGTGCTTAGGGATAATGTAATCTCTTCAGATTAGCGTTTCAGGTAGTTATAAGACGCAGTTTGATTTGTTGTGAGAGATTTTTCATTGGCGCCGGGGTGTCTTACAAGTAAGTACTCATGACTGAGCCTTGAAAGTATGTATTGAGAGAATGAAGAGTGCGCACAGATACTTTGTGTACAGGGTCTGGCATCATTCGTGTGAAACCATTGTAGTTGGTTGTGTTTACTAAGGTTAGGCATGAAGTTAGATGTAAGTTACAAATTAGTAGTGCGGATGGTAGGAGGTTAGCTTTGAAAAAGTGTGTTTATGGTTATCTGGGGCCATGTTGTGTTTGCCTTTGTGTGTTTTTCTCGCACGGCAAATTGTTCCATCTCTGGTAAGCATCTCCACATTCCATGATTGTTTTAACTTTGGCGGCACAAAATTCTGTCAAAATTTCAGAGTAGTATTGGTTTGCGTTTCTTGAGAAGCCTAGAGGGTCCTAGGCGAGTCCAATGTGCTTGACTGCAGCATGGTATTGTGTTCTGTGGTTCGCCTTGCTGTTGTCGATCACTGTCAGGTGTTTTGGGAGTTGGTTACAAGTTCGCGGCTGGAGGGTCCAAGCCAGGCCATCGTCCTCGTCACCAGCCATTCTCTTCATGCCCAGCGGTTGGGAGCGCTGGCCAGCCGAGATTTTCCGGGCGGCGGAGGAGCTGTTACGTTCGGCCCGGCGATTCGTCTGGGCACACGCCATTGTGTGTAAGGCAGTCTACTAGGGAGGCTTTCAACCCCATGAGCGTCCAGTCTGAGAGACGCTGTCTGGTAAATGTTCCAGGAAACAGTTGGGTCTCAACGGAAAGCTTCGCGAGGCAAGCCTTTTGTTGAACGGGCTTGAACAGCAGGGGAATGGCACCACTGTGGCGGGTATCATTAAGTCAACCTCTTGACTCGGCTTTTGTCATCTACGCAAGGCCATCTCAACGCACCGACAGCCCGGAAGCGCGACAACGCGTCGAGGAAGCTGTTCACCGGGATCGAGCGTTTGGACTACCTAAAGCTGAAAGCAGCATGGACCGCTGCTGACATTCGGGTTAGTGGCAATCTCCCCGGAGGAGCTCAACTTTCCCTCTCTGAACTTACCTTCTCGCCCTGCGGTGCCTTCAAAGCGTGGGCCGGGTGCGTCTTTGTGCGGTGCGTTCCTGTTGCCTTTGGACCGTTTTGCCCAGCCGAGTAGGTGCAATATCTGCACCTCTTTTTGGTGGGTGACCACAGAGACTTCGTCCCCTGCTTTGTGGCAAGAGTGGTCACCGCCTTCTTCGGACGGCGATGACGGTGGGCTATAAAAGCCGAAGCATAATTGTATAGAGCGCTGAATCTTGAGCTGCCTCATGGGCTGAATCTTGTATGTGTACATAATGAGCTGAACCCCTGTTGTACATAATGCGGGATCTTCTCGATCCCTGTACAGTTCCTATCTTCCTTCCGTAATGTAATTAAATCCTCGTTCTATCTCTTACAATGTGTCTCCTCACTGGCGAAGATCGGCTATGCGGACGACGGCGAGGAGCCAGCTACCCTAAAGAGAACCCGCCGTACCTGCCATCGAGACCTTCCTACCCACACTACTTGAAACAACACTGCTTGAAACATAACGTTTGACAGAGAGTGATGTTGAATTCTTCGGGGAAATCGCGCAGGCAACCAACGTTTTTTTTTTTTTCTAAAAGGCCAGCAGCCCCAACTTGCGTCTTTATAAGGAAACAACTTATCTAAAATGCCCTAACATTACTTTACATCACAGAAATGAGCAAATGCGACTCGTTGCAAATTTTCTCAGGGTGAGAGAGGTACGGTTGTAGGTGGAGCTCACATTTATTCTTAGATTGTAAACTACTGTACGTGCGAATAGAAAATGCTCGGCATTTAAAGAAACTGCTCGATTTGATAGGTATGCCGCGACCAAATTTGCAATAAAATCAGGCTGGTTGATATCTTTGAGCTTTGAAATCAGTTTTAAATGCGAAGCATTTCTTAGGGAACTTCGGTGACTTTGGCTGTACTATCTGCCCGCCTGCCCGCTTGCCTGCCCGCCCGCCCGCCCGCCTGCCTGCCTGCCTGCCTGCCTGCGACTTTTAGCTCTCCTGGCCGATTTGATAATGCGATCTATACCAAAATTGGTATCGCATAACATGACTGTGTGACGACCATAAATGACTAGTCATAACATGAAATTGACATGTATGTCATGAATGTCATGATTTACATTTCATGGTCTTGCTGCTCTTGTAGTGGTTTCATTCACATTAGATATTGCAAATCGTGTATGGTATGACATGACTGCATGACAAACAAAAGTGACAGGCCCTTACGTGAAAATGATGACATGCATGTCATGTAAGTCATGACTATATACCAGGCTCATGGTGTGCTCGTGGTCATTTCGCCAGCTTCACATATACCAAATTTGGTATTACGAGACGTGAATGAATGATGAAGGCATATAATTGGTGCTGACATGATAATCATGACATGTGTGTCAAGTAAGAATATGACTACGTACCACACTCATGATGTACTTGCGGCCGTTTTGCTATCTTCACATATACCAAGTTTGATATTACGTGACATGAATTAATGCAAAAGTAAATGACGCATGTAAGCATGATAATCATGACAGGCGTGTCATGTACAACTTGACTACATGCTACGCTGATAGTGCGCTCGCGGTTGTTTCGCTAGCTTCACATACAATCGACTCTAAATATTTCAAACTCGAAGGGACCTCTGAATTTAGTTTGAATTATCAAGAAGTTTGAGTTATCAGAAGTTTTCAGATAGATGACTCTGGGTGACGTGATATCACACATTATGATTAGGCATTGATTTTATCACATCTAAAAATTTTTGAAGTGTTTTCAATACCTAACTTCACACAGTAAACAGAAAACAGAGGTGTAAAGTCCACAATATATTGGTAATTTACTGCTGATCAGACCTTTTAAAGAAACCATGAATTGCCAACTGCTTCATTACATTCGGTATGTGCTTTCATTTCAGCACAAAGCTCTCTATATCACTTGAGAAGCATCACAGTTTACAATGCGTGTGCTTCGTTTCAAACATTTGTTTACCTCAAAGGCTTTTTCCTTGAAGGCCTCAGGTGCTTATTTTTCATTTTTAGACTGTTAGGGTTATTTAAGCACACTAAATTTTTGAATAGTAATGGGAAAGCAGCAGATATTTTCTGGTGTAAACATGCAAAAAGAATGAATTAACCGAATGATGGAGTTTGAATTAAGAAGCTTTTAAATACATTGAAAGAATAGAGGGCCAACAAAAAATTCATTTTTTTTAAGTTAACCGAAAGTATAAATTATCAGGGTTTGAATTATCAAGAGTCTACTGTATACCAATTTTGGTGTTACATGACTTGAATAGATAACGAAGGTATATGACTGGTGCAAACCTGATATCATGACATAAATGTTATGTAAGAACATGACTCACACAGCGCGCATGATGTGCTTGCGGTTGTCTCACTATCTTATACCGAATTTAGTGTTACGTGGCGAGAATGGATAACAAAAGTATATGACTGGTGCAAACCTGATATCATGACATGAGTGTCGTGTAAGAACATGACTTCATACAGCGCGCATGATGTGCTCGCGGTGGTCTCTGCTATCTTATACCAAATTCGGTGTTATGTGGCAAGGATGGATAACAAAGGTACATGACTGGTGAAAACCTGATATCATGACATGTGTTATGTAAAAACATGACTTCAGACAACGCGCATGATGTGCTCGTGGTCGTCTTACTATCTTATACCGAATTCAGTGTTACGTGGCGAGAATGGATAACGAAGGTAAAATACTGATGTAAATTTGATATCATGACATAACTGTTATATAAGAACATGACTTCACACAACTGCGCATGATGTGCTCGCGATCATATCGCTACCTTATACCAAATTTGGTGTTACGTGGTGAGAATGGATAAGAAAGGTATATGACTGGTGCAGACCTGATAATCATGACATACGTGTCGTGTAAAACATGACTACATGCTACGCTTATAGCGTGCTCGCTGCTATTTCGCTAGCTTCACATATACAAAGTTCGGTATTACGTGACGCGAATGGATGATGAACACAAATTTCAGGCGCAAACAAGAGAATAATGACATGGAGGTCTTGTAGAGCATAATTTACATGCCTGCTATTGCTGGTGCTGGTATTGCAAAGGTTAGCGGTGCTGTCATTATGCAACTACAAATTCTCATACTAGGATCTTATCTAGATATGCAAGTGTGCATAACATTTATAATGGTGTTTACTGTGTACTATGTCAGTTGGCCTCGTAATGTTGTGCTGATATTAAAGTGACATATCAACCTTCCTTATTTGTGCTTCGCATATCATCGATTCCCACTGTACGTGTGCTTTGCCAATACCTTTTAATTGTATATTGGACACTCGGTATGTTTTGTCCCCTTACACGAGTTCCATCTTAGGGCCTACTAAATATTTTTCAATGAAAGGTGCAGTTTGCTCTGTTTTTTTTTTACTGATGTTATGCTTTTATATATACTTGTATAGTCTTTGATGGTACATGACAACTGTGCGTTTCAAATTCTTTGCGTCAACAAGCACGTGAATGCTTGAGTTCTAGAGTATTATTGTCTATAGAGCGAAAGTGCGACTCATAATTTGTGCAGGCCGCCTGTCCTACTGGCTCGCAAGAATTCTTGCCAAAGAAGACTGCCGTTTTCTTCTCGTTGACAAGGCAGCCTCCCGTCACAAGGTGAGCGCTGCCTGAATGAGCTCAGCTTTTCACTTCTAACAATACATTTTCTTATTACTATTGTTGATATCCCTTCTAAACATCTTTCGCATCTTTTTGGGTGTTGTTTGGATCAGTAAAAGTTGTTTTACACCACTAAATACACCACTAAAGTCCACCAAGGCTTCAGCGACAGATTTCCGTCATCAAAATGATGTTGAAAAAATACGCACGACCAGAATACAAAAAAATAAAAGTCCGACAGCAGGAATCAGAATTCGTGATCTCTCGGTCCAGGACAGGAGATGCTGGATACACTTTCCAGTGCACCACAGTCACATGATTTGTACGCTTCAACAAATACATCTTTCATATCCACCACTGTCCTCTCTCACAGTTCTTGGAAAAGTGCGGTAAGGCATCATAAATGTGCCTTGCGGGATTAGTTCCTTAAAAACATTGTTTCTAAGCCATCTCAATCGCTGTGTTTCTGATAGGAGCAGTGCAATTTCATCAACGTCTTGACACATCCCCAGGTGGCAACCTTACCCCTAACTCTGCATCGCTCGTAGCATTCATCCATACAAAACATAGCTCTCCAGTTTCTGAAACGTCCCTGTTTTGTCTGCATGGAGCTGCACATTAACACCTAAGTTTGTTTCACAAATAATCGTGGTCAGTTAAAGGAAAGACACAACAATGTGCGCTGCTTTTTCCTCTAGTCAGGTGTGGTGTTAAATAACTCCAACATGCCGCGAGTACGTGACCTTACCCCAACTTCGGCATCACGCATAGCATTCATCGATACCAAACAAAGCTCTCAAGCCTGAAACATGTCTGTTTTGCCTGTATAGAGCTCTGCGTTGACTACAGAAGTTCTCCCTGAGAATTATCACAACCAGTCAAAGGCAAGACACAATCCATGCGCATTGCGTTTTCCTCTGGCCGGGTAGTGGTGCTAAGTAACGCCTACATGGCGCGAGTAGGTGACCTTACCCCAACTCAATTTTAACTTAAAAACTCGTTTTTCTCAAAACACAAATTTTGCCATTTTTTTTAATGTGCCCCTTCTTTTTCGAGCACTTCTATTGCTCGGATCTGCATGAAATTTTTCCCAAATATTTTCTAAAGTATGGTGAATGCAATTATCTAGTTTAAATATTAATATTTTATTGTACAATACAAAAATGAAATATGGGCTTTTTACGTCTATTATTTTTCACTCCTATTGTATATTTTTTATGTGTTTCCTAATTAGTTATTTGCATTCTACACTTTATTTCAAACATAATGAACTATGAATGGTAAAACATTACGGAAGTTCAGGGATGAAAAGAGGGGGAGCAAAAGGTCAAAGTTTTCACTTTGTTATCTTGCAGAGCTAAAAGTAGGTACATTGCAAGAAAACTAATTATATACTTGAAATCAGCATAAAAAGTTCCATAAATAGTTCAAGTTTCATTGCTTCATGATGAATATTAAAAAAAGTGTCTTCGAGTAGCATCTCCCTTTAAACGTGTCTGTTTCACCAGCATGGACCTCAACGTTAATTGATTGATTGATATGTGGGGTTTAACGTCCCGAAACCACCATATGATTATGAGAGACGCCGTAGTGGAGGGCTCCGGAAATTTCGACCACCTGGGATTCTTTAACGTGCACCCAAATCTGAGCACACGGGCCTACAACATTTCCGCCTCCATCGGAAATGCAGCCGCCGCAGCAGAAATGGACCTCCACGTTAACCACGGAAATTCGGCTCGAGAATAATCACGGCCATAGCTCCACGTTAACCACTGAAGTTGGTCTCACGATTAACCACAATCAGTCAAAAGGAAGACATAACGAGGCGCGTTGCGCTTTTCTCTGGTCGGTAAGTAGTGCTCAATAACTTCAACATGCTATGAGTAGGTGGCGTTATTCCAAGCGTTGGCGTCGCTCATAGCATACATCCATATCACACATGGCTCTGCAGCCTCTGAACCCAGATGAATATGATTCCTGTTCCCAGCTAGATTGTGGAACCTGGAAATTTTTCCAGGCTGTAAATTCTTGATAAAAATGGAAAATTTTTCCAGCCTGGAAAAGTTTCAGGTTCCATAATCCAGCAGGGAATGGAAATATTCCCAGCTGGGAATGCAGTAAATCCCAGGTTTCACAATCCAGCAGGGAGTGGAAATATTGCCAGGTGGGAATGGAAAAGCTTACAGCCTGGAAAAAATTATGTGGTTCTGTAATCCAGCAGGGAATGGAAATATTTACAGCTAGCAGTGGAAACATTTCCCGTTAAGAATGAAAAATTTTTCAGCCTGGAAAAATTTGCAGGTTCCATAATGCAGCAGGGAATGGGAACATTTTAAACAGGAAATGGCTTGTTGCAAGCCTTGAAAAAATGCCCAGATTTTCATATCACTGTTATTACATACGTATTCGCATGAAGTTCCTACAGGACCTACAGGATCCAGATCACTGAACACAAAAAGAGACAGTGGTTTTGAAATGTGAAAACATTTATTCTAACGCTTGTAGCAAGTGCTGGAACATTTCATTTCATTTATTGATACTGTCAACCCTTTTTGTAGGGCTATTGCAGGAGTGGAAAGAAATCATATTTAAACCGACATGTGCCTAAGAGAAACACAAAACAATATTTGTTACAGGAACATATATCCCTTCACGGCACTAATCGAAATTCAGATAATTGAAATATTTTAATTGCAAGCTTGTCAGTAAAACAAATAAAGCATGTATCACTGCTAAAACATATATTACACAACTTATCAAAACACATAATAAAATTATAGTTTAATTACAAAACACATAATTTACACAAGTCATCTCAATTTAGTGCATTACTAAATCAGAGAACACGATGAGCTTATGGCTTCTAAAAACTCTGTAAGGGATTTAGTTTTCACAACCGGATATGGCAAACAATTCCACTGTTAAATTGCCCTAGAGAAGAAACAGTACCTGAAGCAATCGTTATGAGCTACAGCTACCACAAGCATCTATCAGGGATGGAACAGCTGCGCCCTTTGCGCCACTGAGTGGCAAACTTTCTAACCTGCACCATCCTGTGCCGAACTACCCCTGCTTTGCCAAACTCGCCTATCCGTGCCATACTGGGCCGCTACACCTGAATTCACCCGCAAAATGCGAAAGCCATCAAGTGCTGTGTCTCGAAAATTGGCGGAAACATTGTAATTTTTATTTGATCGAAACGGCTGTAGTTTCACTAATATAGCGAAATGGACTAGTTGGTTTTGCTGCATACTGAAGCTTTAGCGTGCACACACGAGGACACAGACGAAAGGAACACAAGGACCTGTGCTGATCCTTGTGAATTTTTTTCGCCTGTGCCCTCGTGTGTGTGCGGTAAAGCTTCAGTATGGTTATAGTTTCAGTTTTGTAAAGGCTGTGGTCGCGATCACTATGCATGCGCGATCACAGCAGGCAGCGCGAATAGCTTTGAGCCCTTCCACGTGCTGTGCTCTTGGCGCGAAGGGACGGCGAGAAGAGCATCTCCTCGTTTTCTAGAGTTATGCAATATCAGATCTAAGAGGGTAGTTGGATGCCATCTTTACAATTTGTTTCAATCAGACTTGTTACTCAGCCATTCCGGTGAAACTGTTTTTTTTTTGTAACACGATGGAAGCGTTCCGAAAAGAAATCAAAGAAGAGGCAGTGACGGCGCTCAAAAGAAAGGGGGCGGTGTCCATCTCCCGAAATAGTCTAGGAAAAACAGGTGCACTGGGTTTACCGTGCACATGACTGCTCATCGAGCATATGCGCATATTATCGTTTATTTGGCCACTGTGCTTCACGCTTATTAACTCGGCGGTTGACGATCACACATTCAGGTAAAAAACAAAAATATAAACATGGGCGGCTGTACATAAGTAAAAAGTTGCAGTTGCACCCCAAGTGTGGAACAGTGAATGTGGTAGCAGGCAATTGTAAGGTTATAGGAACTGAGACTGGCAGCTAACTCATTTGGACCCGATCTCACATAACTGTACAAATGTACGAGCTGATGTACGAGAATACAACCGTTTCAAGGAGGGCAACACTTTTAGAACATTCTCTTCATGATGAGAGTGCAGCACGTATAAGTGTATGCGAGTTGCCCGCTGATGACTGCCGAGCTAGCTTGCGCACTAGCAATCGCGACCACGCCTTTAGAAGCAAAGTTCAAAGTTGCTCGAGCGACACCTGCCCCCTCCTCCCTCTTGCTCGTTTTCTTAATGCTCTTCTAAAACAAGTGAAGTGCTTTCTCTCTGCTTCGACTACAAGCCTCCCAGGTGGGGGTATCCGATGCTATTGCATGCGCCCTCCAAGTGGCGGAGATGAACCAGATCGTTCGACCTCTGCTTCAGCCGCGGTCGTCGCCTCCGCTCGCACCCTTTTACTCGTGGATAGAACATACGATGAGCAGGAGTATGTTATCAATTTAGAATTTATACGGGGCATGGTGGCAATGGCAAAAACCCATCAGTAGGGTTCCATATAAGTTCTATTGCGACAATGAGGTTATTGGGCATATAGCTGCGTGTTTAAAAAATGCAGCATTGCACAAATGCAGCTTCACAGGTGCCTTAAACGGGGCTAAGTCTGCTCTGAATGTTCTCACTTCTCTAAACTTGCTCAAAAAGGCCCTTCTGGCTGCTCCTAGCCTGCTCACTTTTGCCTGCTCCCCCGACTGCTCCAAAACTCATGTACTCGTTTCCACTCCTGGTAGCGAGAAACAGGATTTTTAAAATAAAAGAAAGGAGAATAATCATTAGCATTAATTTTAATCACTTACTAATTCAATGTAGTCCTATTTGCTTACTTTAGCTACATAAATATGCAGCTAAAAACTCTGATATTAAGAGTAGAACACTGAATAGTAAATCGACCTTTTTATTCCTGCGATGCCCTCCACATTTTTTAAGTGGAGCGGAACCAGAGCTCTTCCCCAGAATTCATTTGCTTTTTCACGGCTATAACAGCCATTTTTTGTTCTGATTAGAGTGGCC